CGACGGCGTCCACCCTCGTACTCGGTCCTCCCCCTCCCCTCCTCCCCTCCCCTCTCCCCCTCCCCTTCTCCCCCCTACGCCCACTCTCCCTCCTCCTCCTCCTCTCCCTCCTCCTCCTCCCCCTCTCACAACTTTCATCTTCTCTATTATGAATTGGAGGGACAGAGGAAGCCTGGAGGTCACCAGCGATGCGAGAGCTCCCCGCTGGCTCCTCCTCCCCTGAGGACACGGCCAGGCCAGCACTTCTGGTGTTGAGGGAGCAGCCAGGGCTCTGAGGGTCCCCCTCAGGTCACCCAGAGCTGCAGGCTTTGCTTCTTGCTTTCTTTCTCAGAGTTGTTGCAGGCCTTTCTAAAGGAGGAGAAAGAGACAGATTTGCTAAAGATTTGATGTGACTTAAGTTAAATCCAGTATTGACATGAACTCCCTTGAGGAAGCACCCTCGTCCCCTGCCCTGCCCAGCACCCCGTCCCATGCCCGGGACCACTGGCACCACCAGGGCCTGCAGGTCCTCAATCCAGACGGCTCAGGAGGAGAGAGCCCAGGACAGCTTGGCCAGCAGGTCCGGGAGAGGGGCCTTTGAAGGGAGGCAGGACTGGGGCTGCTCCTCAGGGAAAGAGGAGACCCTGGGGCCAGAGTGCGTGCTGCAAGAAAGGATGCTGATTAAGGCAGATCCTAGGGCCCCTCGAAGCCTGACAGTCAGTTGCTGCTCGATTACACCCCATGCGTCCTGATCAGAATCAATACTCTTCATGATAAACAATTTAACAATGACCCTCCCTCTGTGGGCTTCCTCTAGTGAAATCAGTGGGGTGAGGAGACGGGGCGATGGGCCGGTGACCCACACTCAGAAGCCAGGTCCTGTGCTGCTCCCCGCAGCCCTGTCCCCCGCCCTGCAGGCCCCCAGGCAGCCCCGTCCCACACACCTTTAAGGTCTCAGGCCCACGTTGACTTCCAGGGAGAGGGAACCAGCATTAAAGATGCACTGACCCCAAATCAGAAAGAAGGACTGAGTTGAGTCCAAAGGAACTTGGAGGTGCTCGGGGAGCCCAGGGGTCACTCAGAGATGCCTGGGAGTGACCACGTGCCGTTGGGGAGCGTGTGTCAGTTCACCCCCGTCTGTGTGTTTGTCTGTTTCTGCTCTGCGGATGGAACAAGCAGGGCCTCCAATCCGATCCAAGCTGGGCCCCGGCCAGAGTCCGCTGTCGGAGACCCTCCCATCCCCTGAAGCCAGGAATCGCCTCCAGATCAGCTAATCCACGCCGCCAGCCCTCGTGGGCGGCCGCAGCGCGCCCCGCTCAATCTCACCGGGGGCCTTCTGGGGACAGGCGGCCTCACACATGTCAATCTCACTGGGGGCCTTCTGGGGACAGGTGGCCTCACAAGTGTCCCTGAGCTGTCCTCTTTCGGTTGCAGAGCGGCCGGCACCCCCCAGGGAGCTCCTGGTGCCCCAGGCGGAAGTGACGGCCCGTAGCCTGCGGCTGCAGTGGGTCCCAGGCAGTGACGGGGCCTCCCCTATCCGGTACTTCACTGTGCAGCTGCGGGAGCTGCCCCGGGGAGAGTGGCAGACCTATTCCTCGTCCATCAGCCACGAAGCCACGGCCTGTGTCGTCGAAAGGTAGGCAGAGGGCCAGGAGGACCCTCCCGGCCTCCTCCAGCCGGCCCCTCCTCCCCCTCACCGAGTAAGGAATCTGTGTGGTGCAAAGAGACGCTGAGACCCCACGTCTCTTCTTCTAGTCACTGCCCCCCGTGCCGGGACCCAGGATTCCTGCCTTGTGGAGCCACTTCCCAGCCCCCGCAGGCCTCTTCCCCACCTGTCCTTCCGAGCATCCCCTCCCTGCACGGGTGGTTTGCCCACGCCAGGCCACAGGGGTGAACTGGCAGTGGGGGCTGTAAGCCTGGAAGCGTGGGCTGTGGCACCTTCGTCCCCAAGGGGCAGATGGAGGGGGGAGAGGCGTGGGGGAGGAGCGGCCCAGCCCACCGATGTCACTGTGTCACTGTGTCACCATGTCACCGGCCGGAGAGACGGCCTTTCTCTGAGCGGGGTCCCTACTCAGCAAGGCAGACAGCTGCCCCGCGGAGCTGTCAGCGCCAGGATGGCTGATGGGGGTAGTAGGGCATCCCCTGAACCAGCTGCTTAGAGCGCCACTGGGTGGGACGGAGGGGCCGCCAGGCTGCACCCCCCACGCCGTCTCCTCCAGGCCTCTTCTCGCCACCTGGCCGCTTTCCGGTGGAGGAGACCAGGGCTGAGAGGGGTTAGGTCGCCTGTCAGAAGCCTGCAGGTGGAACAGTGCAGACGGGCGGCCCAACGCAGCGACCCCAGGCCCTGCGTCCTCACGGCTGCCCAGTGGCAGCCCCAGCCTGTGAGGGGGGCCGCCCTGGCGTCCTCACTGTACTCCCCCAACCCTGTTTTCGCCACCCTCCATTAGGCTCACGCTCCGGGGTGGGGGGAGCTGCCAGCAGTGAGTCCCCTGTCTGTGGGTTCTAGAGCCCTCGCCAGGAACTCGTCGGAGGCTGAGCCCGCGGTTTCCTAGGTGGGCCAGGGCGCCTCTCACCGCTCAGAGCAGGCACCTGCCGGCACCGCGCAGGGTCGTTTCACATCCTCCAGCTCACGAGTCCCCTCGACAGTCTGGAGGGAGGGTCGTCGTCCTCCCATCCTGCGGCTGAGAAGCAGGATGAGAAGTCAGTAACTTGCCTGCAGCCTGCCCAGCCGTCTTTACCGTCACTGCTGTCACCGCCACCGTCCTCGCCATCTCCACGCTGCACAGCGCCCGTCGTCCCCAGGGCCGTGTCCCCATGTGGCCCCGCACAGCGGCTGCGGGGAGACAGCAACCAGCCTTCACAGTCCCCCGTCTTGCAGCTGAGGGAGCTGAGGCAACGACGTGGCCACACTCCCGCTGCGTCCCCACTTCTCCACAGGAGGAGAGGGTCCCTCAGAGCCTGTGGTTCTCGCCTTCCCTGGGCCTGTAGCTCAGAGCTCCTTGGACACAAACTAGCACAACTGTGATGTGGTGGAAAAACGCGTTACCCTCCACACACCAGGCTCTCAGCAGTGTGGCCGCCCCTTGGTGGCCGTGGGGCCTGGAGGAGCCCCCTGGAAGCCTGGGTTTCTCTTTCCTGGAAGACGGGACAGGTGCGTGATCCTGTTCCTTTCAGGTCTGCGTGGAAGATCTTCCTCAGGTACTGACAGCCGCGAACTGGCAGCCGAGTAATAGGGCGATCCAAGAGTCAGACCCCGCCAGCACCCCGCTTACCCTTTGAATGACAGCCATAGAACCCACGGGACACAGCCGCCACCCTGCCGACGCCACCCCCTGGGGCCCGCGATTGTCCTGGCGCCCCCCAAGGGTCCGGGGAGCGCAGCCGGGCAGGCCCTGCTTGCTTAGCAAACCACGGTCTGGTGCGCTGGCGCTCAGCTTAGTTCGCATGTGCCCGTGGATAGAAATGACTTCTTTTTCACCTCTTTGTGTAACCAGCTGAAAGAAAGAAAGAAAGAAAGAAAATCCAGCTGCCATTCCTGTGCTGGGGCCTCCTGAAAGCACGCAGACCGACTGCGCTCGGGACTTCATGATGGAAAGGAGGGTCCATGACTCAGGACAGACAGTCTAATTTGATAGGAGGGACTTAATTTCCAGGACCAGGGCACAAGCTTCCTGCCCATCTACAGGGGACGCGTCACAGGCAGAATTCCGGGAAAGCGGTATTTTATTCGCTGCCAGCACACAGCCTCCCTCCCTGCTCAACAGTCCTAACAGCTGCAGTTTCCTTTTTTTTTCAAACATTCTTTTGACATTTTGCTTTTGCCGGTTGCATGAAGTCTGCCAGTGGCCAAAAACATAGACGTTGAAACAAAAGTTTAAAAACGGAAAGTTTAACCATCTAAATCTAGTGGTGCGTGTGGACCCAGCGCGGGGGGAGGGGTCGGGCTTGAGGGGCGTGTCTGGGCATCGTCGGCTTCTGGCTGGTGGGTGCATGCCAGAGAGATGCCGTTCAGTTTTAGAAGGCAGGGGCTCAGAGCACAGAGCCACGTGTGTATTCTGGGCGTGACTTCGGATAGAACGGCGCTGGCGTGAGCTCAGGTGATGGTTGGTACCCAGCAATTGTGGGCCCTGCTGTTCCTCTGAAATTCCCTCTGTGGCAGGTGCTAAGGGCCCAAAAACAGGGGCCCAAAGGGAGTCACTAGGTGAAAGAGTAGGGATTCTGTTGGAGTCAACATGTGCTTACCTGCACTGGATTATTTCTTTTAAACTTTCTTCTGTGTCTTTAAAAATAAAGCCACACTAAAGATAGGGTAAATTTGGCCATAGATATTATGCATGGGTTCCATATTCTTTGTGATGCCGATAATGAGTTCTCAATAAATATTTTCAGTGTCTTAAAGATACATCAATACGTAGAAGCAGCAGTGGGTGGCTTCTACCATGTTCAGGGCTCGTATATTTGATTATTATAACCAAAATGGACGAAGGGCTCCGTGGAGCTCCTTCCATTTATAACCCTGTGGGAGGAACGTTGAACCACAAGCCATGTCCTGCCCACACCCCCACCTCACAGCACAGTGGCTGCGGAGGTGACAGGTGCGGCCGTGACATCAGGGGAAGCGTCCGAGGCAGCAGAGCACAGAGTTGTCTGCTTAATGCGTGTGGCGGTGAGGGCTTTGCTTAGACCGGCAGGACCTGAGGGCCGGGGGAGGGAGCGTCTAGCGTGACCTCGGCTCTTCTGGTCTGGGAAACGGAGAGGATGGCTGAGCCGGTGCCTGAGACACAGCCACTGCAGGAGGGAAGAGACAGCATGCAGTTTCCTTGTCTGCTCCACTTGCAGTGAAACATATGGGCGGCCCCAAGCAGCTGGCCAGCTCAGGGCTGAACAGGGTGCGTGAGAGACGGTGCCACTGGTGAAGATCTGGGCGTTGTCCACACGGAAGAGTTTGTCTGAAGTCTTAGTCATCAGCGTGGCACACGAGACCCAATAAATACAGGGTGTCTGGATGGATGGACAGGTGGATAGATGGATGGATGGATGGACAGGTGGATGGACAGATGGATGGATGGGTGGATGGAGGGTAGATGGGTGGATGGAAGGCAGGCAGGCAGGCTGGCTGAAGTCATGGCACAAGAAGTGCCAGGATCGGGGGGTACTCTTAGTGTCCCTAAATTCTCATCAGTGGGCTGAGGGGGGACATTTTTTCACACAGACGACCAACATTGCTTGGTCTTATTTAATGTGGCAGGCAAAGGTTGCATCAAGGCAGTACCCCTGTTCCAGTCCCCACCCAGCCACTGACCAGTCCTTTGGCAGAGGCCGGGCCTCTGTCTCTCCATCCGTGAAATGGGAATAACAATGACTCGACCCCACAAGGCTATTGTGTGGGTGAAATGGGGTCGTGCTTGCCAAGCACTTGGCACCACATCTGGCTCAGTGAGCAGGGGCAGGGGTGGACCTTGGAGCCAGGCCCCCAGCCCGCACCCTCCTCCACGAAGAAGTGCTTGGGGGTGAACGGAGAGGTGAGCTAGGTAGGTGCTCACCGCGCCCCGGATCCCCACGAGGGCTGGTGTGATTAGCTCCTCCTGAGAAATCCTCCGAGCTCCTCGGAGAGCGGTGACTTGCTGCGCACACGTGTCTTCAATTACAGGAGGTGCCGGTTCCTTTCCCGGGAGCCCGCAGCAGAGTCTCCTTCCCCCGGCCTGGAAGTTCTGCTCTCCCCTCCCCCCCAGGGGCTCCTGTCTCCCGAGACTGGCCAGGAAGCTGGGGCCCGGCTCACTGCAGGGCGGGGAGTGATTCAGCCCCCAGCCCAGGATGTCCTGCCCCTCGCTGCCGCCGGGGCTCAGGGTGAGTTGCTCTCACCCAGGCCCCTGGGCCGGGCAGGGGACTCTCCTCAGTCACTCCTCTCTTCCCTGTTTCAGGCTGAGGCCCTTCACCTCCTACAAGCTGCGCCTGAAGGCCACCAATGACATTGGGGACAGTGACTTCAGTGTGGAGACAGAGGCTGTGACCACACTACAGGACGGTGAGCAGCGGGGCCCCAGCCGGCAGATGGGTGCAGCCCCCTTCCCGCTGCTGCCTTTGTGCCCCCAAACATTGGCTCCGAGAGCCAGGCCCCGCTCCCGTCTTGAGCCAGGAAAGCGTCACTCAAGGGAGCAGGGTTGGGGTGGCCGTGGGCTGTGGAGGTCAGGTGGCGACACACGTCTCAGGGCACTCCTGCACGGCCATGGCCACACACCAGGACTCCCAGGAGATTTCCTGGATTGGCTTCCAAACCCCTACGACCCATTAGCATCCCAGAAGGCGAACGATTAATAAGGTCATTAAAAAGAAATGTCCGGGGGTAGCTGGGTTCTAAGAGGTTTTTCCCATTTTTCTCATCCACGAGCCATCCCTGTTTGCCGAGTGACAGAAGCCCAGTGAAGTGTGGAGGTGAGAGCCGCTAAGAGCAGCAGGTGGCTTGTCACCCGCTCTGTCCTGCTTGGAGGAATTGGGCCTGTGGACCCACTGTGAGTTTGTGTGAGGGCCTGGCCGGAGGGGCCTGGGAGACAGCGTCCCCCAGTGCCTCCAGCAGACGGGACAGGCAGGTGCTCGGAATGGACATGGCTGCTACCGCGGGGCAGATGCTGCGGCCCTGGTGCCCGCCTCCAAGCCCGCACCCTCAGCTGGCCTGCCAGTGCTTTACAATAACCCCAGAACACCCCCAGGCACTTTCCCCAGTTACCGCCGCAGTGGAAGCATTTTCAAACCAGCCCATCTCTGCTGGCTCCCCCCGGACCTTCCATCTTCGGCTCTGCTCTTTCTAT